GGAAAAGGGGTAAAATCGAAAAGCGGCGAATCAAAGCGTAAAAGCGTAAGTTTTTTATGCATCCTGTATAATAGTTTAAAATAATGTTAAGTACGGCATAAACTATGTAAAATATGAGTTCACAGAGTTTAGATAAAAGAAAAAATACCTGCAATTCATGTCTAAATTAGAACAAACTCATAACATCTTAATAATAAGGTCATAAACATAAATCGTAAGCCACAAACGAGTTAAGAATCCAAATTCTCACAAGCTGGTTTAAGTTTACATAATGACATATGATTTTAATAATCCAAGTCCTCACAATCAAAGCACACAAATGTTACAAATGATAGAAGGAAAACTACATCAATTCATCGGCTTCCACATTTGCATCCAAATCATCATCATTATAACCATCACCACCATTGCCATTAACATCAAGTGGACTACTATATTCATGATCACCCTCATCTCTTCGAGCATCAATACCAATAGCATCATCACCACCTTCAATAGTATGACCACCTTCCTCACCACCAACCTCTAAATCTGTAGATTGTGGTTCTCCTTCTTCATTATCACTAGCACAAATCCATTCATTATCAGAATTTATATCCTCAAAGTCAATCTCAAGCCTTCTTGATTTCTTGGCATTCCCGCCCACCAATTTGTTGTTGCACATAACATACACAAGATCATTCATCTTTTGTGCACGCAAATTGTTCTTTTTCTTAGTATGAATCTACAAGTAAAAGAGTTCACATCACCACATATTCACATGTAAAAAGAATGAATGATATGATGAAAAGAAAATAGAGGCAATTTATTACTTACCCTCTCAAATGCACTCCAATTACGCTCGCACCCAGAAGCACTACAAGTCAAACTCAACACTCAGAGAGCAAATTTTTGAAGCTCTGGCACTTCATCTCCAAATGAGATCCACCAATCAGCTGGATGTTGCCTATCCTTTAATTGCATTGCACCATACTTATCAAACATTCCATGAGCATGACGAAATACAGACAACTGCTCCATTATCAAAAACTTCTCTTCATCATTCTTTGCAAGTCTAGATATGCACTCATACAATCCCATTTTCACCTTTGAATCATTATGGTTAAATCCTTGAGAATGATGAATTTGAGGATTCAACCAATATGCAGCATAGTGAATTGGTCTACTCATTTGATCTTCCCACCTTTTGTCAATGACTTTCAAGACAGGCTTGTATCTAGATAAAGTATATACAATAGAGAATAGACAAATTATAAGTTAGAAGTTAGAACAATAAAAATATAGGTTTGTATGATAACTTAATAGGAAAAGGAAACTCGAAATCACCTTCTTTCCACATTGTTGAAGTTGCTTTTAATCTTCTCCTTCGCTTGGATAATTTTAGAGTATAAGAAGGGCATTGCCGGTTTTTCATCAGAATCAACCAAGCGTAGAATCTTGACAAGAGGTTGAGCAGCTCTAAGACAGTTTGTCACATTTTTCCAAAATCTACCACCAAGTACAAATCCTTGAACTCTTTTTCCTTCACGAAGCTTAGAAAAGCTACTCTTCCTCCACTTCTCAGAAGAAAACATTGTCATCAAGGAACCCTTATTGTCATTAAGAGATCCCAATGTCAAATATGCTGTAGCAAATCTTGTAACAGCAGGTCTAACCAAATCTTTCCCTTGAGTGAACTCCCTCATCATGGCAATCATCATTGTTCTTGCATAAATGAAATAGGTGATCTTCTTACCATTGGAAATTGTGGTCTCGTGCACCTTAATATGCTTTGCAAGATCCTTTAGCATCAAATCCAAACAATGAGCTGCACAAGGTGTCCAAAACAAATGCTTCCTTTTTTCTATCAACAATTGTCCTCCTGCCTTATAAGCTGAAGCATTATCTGTCACAACTTGAACAACATTTTCTTCCCCAATCTTCTCAACAACTCCATCTAACATCTCAAACACCTTTTGAGCAGTCTTCGAAAAATCAGAAGTGTCAATAGCTTCAAGAAATACAGTTCCACGAGGACTATTAACCAAAAAGTTACATAGAACTCGCTGTTTCTTATCTCTCCATCCATCAGACATTATTGTGCAACCCACCGCCTTCCATTCAGCTTTGAAGATCCCCAATTTATTCTCCACTTCCTGCATTTCCTCTTTCAGTAAAGTCTCCCTAATCTCATGATATGAAGGACCCTTAAAGCCAGGATCATGCCGAGCTGTATCTTCCAACATTTGGTGATAGCTATCGCATCTAGTTGCATTGAATTGAATAGCATTTTCATACCACCATTTTGATATCGACTTGCAAGCCTTTTCCCGGAGTTCTTTCCTCAAAACTGTAGTTATTGTTTTCTGTTTTCCAGTGCCACTGCCACTAGCTTCATTAGAAGTTCCACTACCCTCTCCTTCATGACTAAAACCGATATCATGTAGCTTCCTTGCCTTAGTCGCCTTCTCTTCTTCAGTTGCACCAAGTAGCTCTAACATTTTTTCTCTAACTTCATCAGGAACACTAACACAAGCGATAGAGTCCTTTCTTGTTCATGCAAGATGATGTTTGAAGCGAGATATACCACATACTTCCTTATCACAATACTTGCATCTCACTTTCTGCCCATTAACCGAGTACATCTATACCATGCTGCCAACCGGGATCTAGACGATTGCCCTGTGCATTTTTTCTCTTCGCTCTAGAATTGGATACCGTATCGCTTGCACTAGTACCCCCACTCGACATAATTGAAATTGCAAATCCTACATAAAACAAAGAATAATTGTTGTAAATCACAAAATCTCAACTTCTGAATTATAAACATAAAAATTACAAACACAAAATCTCAACTTCTAAATCAAATCCTACACGGAAAAATTACAAACAAAAAGACAAAATTATAGTTTATACCTGGAGGCTTGCTACGGGCGAGTGGGCGACGACCACCAGCTACAGCCGACGAGCTACGGGCGACGGATTAGTGCGGCGGCGGCGACGAGGCGCTGAGGGGTAGCGGCGGGCCGGCAGCTTGGCGACGGGAGGAGGCCGGGCGATTGGCGAAGGGCGGCGGCTGGGCGATTGTTGACAGGCGGCGGCCAATGACGAGAAGGGTGGAGTGGGAGAGCCCTGCGGCGCTGGAGGAGATAGATGGAAATGAATTAGGGTTCAGCCGAGCCCTTCTCTCTTTTGGCAGCCCGACTTTTTTTTTTTCAAAATAAAAAACGACGTTCAGCACAGCCCTTCTCCCTTTTGAGTTTTGGCAGCCCGATATTTTTTTTCAAAATAAAAACGACGTCGTTTTGGTGAGAGGAGAAGGTTTTGTTCCTTTGCTTGGAATCGTACAAAAACAGTCTAAAAACGTGTTTTTTATCCGATTTTACCGATTTCAACGATTTTACCACGATTTTGACCGATTTTGAATAAAAAACTTTTTTATTGGTGATTTGAAACGTTTTCCTACCCTAGAAACGTAAAATCGTACGATTTTACGCTTTGAAGCGCGATTTTGACTACACTGTTTGTCACGATAGTTATCACTTTTGCTACGTTGTTGTGACAAATGTATAGTTTGTCATAGCAAACCTATTTTGAAAAGACCATGTGATTTTCATAATATTCAAATTCATACTCCACCTGAAATTTGTTCTGATGAAACTTGTTTGTCATAACCTGATGCATATATGACAACCTGTGGGCAGTATCATGACAGCCTATTCTCCAAATCTGATTCTATTCAAACCATAAAAAGGTACATCATTTAAATGTATCAAAAGCTACATCATTCATTACCGAAATCAAAAGCTACATCATTCATAGTTACAATCTGTTCCAAAAACATACTGATCCATTTATCCCGACACCAAAACAAAGTCTTCCAAAGGTACTAGTACTCATGATGTGGTCCTTGAGCATCCAAAATGCATACCTACTGCCATATACCTAGGTACCTATGAACACAACAGTGGAGTCAAAGTACTTGCTAGGTCCGCTAACATCTAACTAGTAGCTAGGTTTGCTAACAACCATGTTCATTCACTTACATGACTAACTTAGATACAATCACACCCTATGTCACACATCCAAAGTACTAGAACCATACTCTAATTAAAGAAAGGAAGAAACACAAATGGTTATGTTCACTTACATAGTTTTTTTGAGGTTGATCATTGACTTAAGTCCCATTTTTTCTCTTATGTGTGTCGTCATAAACTCGGATTTCCTTGGGCTCTACCTCAACTTCATCAGATTCATTATCATTGTTCTCCGTATCAGCCTCATTGGTTGTTTCCTATTAACAGTCCAGATTATATGGCACTACAACAAATTCGGCCTATTATGACGAAGCATGTTTGTCATATTAGGTATAATATGACAAAAGGTGTTGTCACAAATGTTTGTCATTTTATCGCCGTCAAGATAGGTCAAATGTGACAAAAATTTAAAACAAGGTTGTCACATTTGCTTTCAGTATAACTGAGGTTTTGGGTAATCTATTGTGACAAACAGAGATGTTATGACGACATATTTTGTCATTACGATTGTCATAATCTGGTGATTTGGGGAGAATTGTTCGTCACATTACATGACTATATTTTGTCATAACTGTATATTGTGACGACTGCATCTGTCACAAGTGTTTATTGTGACAACATTATTTTGTCATAGCTGAATATTATAATTAATATATTTTGTGCTTCAAAAATTTCATAATTCGAAATTGTTTTCTGCATTGGAACCTGATAATGGAAAGATTACCAAAAACCCTTAACATTACAACCATTTCCATAGCAGTCTAACCTGCCACTCTCGTACAACAATTAACAAGAGCAGTGGCAAATTACATTACAACCTCTAATCTATTGAACACAGACAAATAAGGGCAAGACTTGATCGAGGATTTTGGGATTGGCTTCCCGGTCGCTGTCATCGAGGATTTAGATCTTAAACCTCGCTCTAGCTCGTCGTCTGTGGTCTAGAGGAAGGACTACAGGAATGACCGATTTTACCCACCGCTGTTACTGGCCAGTATTGTCGCCAACGATTCCTTTTCCAACTTTCCTCTCGTCTTATGAAACCTCCACCAAAAAACCCAGAACGCAAAATAAAATGATTAGAATCCTAAAACACCCCCAAAACAAGTATCGGAAAAAATACATGCATTAACCTTACCTCTGTAGCCAGCATCATCAGTGCCAGTCTGTTCCGTCGGCCTCGTGTTCCTTTCTTCTTCCTCCTCGTCATAACCAAAACAGAGAAAAGGCGAAGCTAGATCTAGAGAGGGGAAAGGGGATTTTGATTTTTGTTTATCGCAAAGAGGCAGCGACAGATTGAGAAAGCTAGGGTTTCAGATTTTGTTTTTTTTCTTCTTCTTTGTTTTGTTTGATCTTCCAAGTAGAGAGAACGATAGGGAGAGGTGAGGTTGATTGACCTTCAATGTACTAACGTCGTCATTGCCATCTCTGTCGGCGTTCATCGCCGTCGTGCCCTTCGATGTCGCCGCCCTTTCGTCTCTCTTCAGTTTCATCTTTGACAGAAGAGAAGGGAGGGAGATTAGGTTAGATTGACAAATCAAAGAGGCAGATTGAATCGTTTTTTAGAAGAGATGGAGAGGGGCGAAGTATCTTTGCTCGATCTGAAAAGGGGATGGAAAGAATAGATCGAAGAGAAGGAGAGAAGGAAAGAATGGATAGAAGTTTGCTTAGTTTTCTAGAGAAAATGAAGAATGAATCGAGAGAAGTGAGAGGCCGAGCGGCAGAGATGTTAAGAGGAAAATGGTTAGGGTTTTTTTTGCTAGAGTTGAAGAGATGCTTATATACCTCTGGTCGTATAAAGCACGTATTATACTTGTATAACACATTTAACATCCATATTTCATGAATTAAATTATATCTTAAATATTATATATATATTTATTTATTTTTAAATAATTGAATATATACCTTTTATGTTAACATTTACAGACCAAAGCCGAAACAACTATATTATGACGAACATGCCCTTTTGTCAGCTCGCCGAGGGACTATTGATATCTATTGTAACAAAATACTTTGTCATTTAAACAATTCAGGAAGACATAATATGACAAATGCTACTCTGACGATATAATTTGCCACTTTTGTGTCTCTTACATCCCTATATGGGATGCCTATTTTGACAAACTTAACTATGACACGAAATATTTGTCACATTACTCACTTTAAATGACGAAATATTCTGACAACAGGAAACTGTCACTATTGAGTCTCTTACATCCCGATATGGGACGCCTATTTTGACAAAATTAATTGCGACACAAAATATTTGTCACATTACTCACTTTAAATGACGACTTATTCTGACCAATTTTATTTTTGTCACATTAGGCAAACCAAATATGACATATATCATTTTAGTCACATCATCGTACCTATTGTGACAAACAGAAAATGACAAAATAAAATTTTTGTCCTAATAGGCCGAATTTGTTGTAGTGTGGAATGTTAGTAACCTTACCATTTCATACATTCATTGGCTGCATGATTTGCCACCTATAGTATGAGCATAAGTATGCATGCTTCTATTGCGCTTATTAGCAGCACTTTGCCTCTGCAAGCCGCACATTTATAGGATCGGCAGCAAACCAACTATGGTCCCTATCAAAATTTTCAATGTTTCTGCATCCGCTGGATGCCTAAGCACATCGTCGTTAATTCGTTTTTCTTTGTGCCACCGTACCTCATTTCCTTGGCAATGTCCTTTGTCATGAACAACCTAAGTAGCCTATCCTTTATAGGAAAATACCTAGCTGTTTTAATGGGAATATTATTCCCTTTGCCTGGTTTATACCTAGATTTCTTACACTTGGGACACGTCTTTCCATTCTGGAAAGGACCTCGGAATAAGATACAGTTGTTAGGACATGCATCTATAATGGTATAACCAAACCCAAGATCATGAATGTACCTCTTCAGCTCATAATACGAATTAGAGAGATTCTCTCCATTTGGTAAAGCTTCCTTGATTAGATCCAAATTGAGGTTAAATGATTTGTTGCTACTATTGGTTAACATTTTGTTATTCATCATTTTCATAATGAAGGATAACTTTGAAAATTTCTTACAACCATGATAAAGAGGAAATTTAGCGTTTTTTAGTAGTTTAGCTAAGGTTGGATCCAGATTTACTCATCTGAAACCCTCATTCATAAATTCGTAACCTGATGTACCAACCCTTGCAGCAGTAGCTCGACCCAAATCATTCAACATGGAAGGCATTTCCATGTCAAAACCATGCATATCATTCTGGTTGCCCCGCTACCACCAATCTCCGAGTTGTCTCAATGATATATCCACAAACTGTAATCCTCTATTATCCCATTGAGTAACAAGTCAGATTTCACAAGATCTATTGTTTTAAAGCAACAATTGTTGCATTTTTTGCATGGACACCTAATTCTACTACTACCATCAGCACATGCCTTGGCAACCCCTAGAAAGTACTCAACACCCTTCATATAATTAGCAGAAAATCGATTCTTCATCTTCAACTAACCCCTATCAATTTTGTCTATGTGCATAAATTAGGCTAACCTGTGCCTTGGATCACAGAATGTAGGCGGATCTTATAACTTCAGTTGAGCAAGCACCTGCAAAATAATCACAAAACCAAAGCAATCAAACCTTCTCAAACAGGGTGACGTAGTGACCAGAACCATAACAACAAGATCCACAAAGTAGAAACCAACAACTTACAACAACATCCACAAAACACAAACCAGATAACTAAGAATACCTAAGCAGCCTACAGAAATCAAAGAACTACTGATAACTCAGATAATATTATGCTTAGATCAGTAAAATTATCTTACAAAAACGAAGGAATCCAAATCGAGAACCCAGAAGAACACCATCCACAAACCACAAACCATAACCCCAAAAAAAACCCCTTAGGTTACAATTGAATCCAAAAACTAAATTTCCAATCTCTGATTTACACATGCAAGACCACATGTAGGGATTCCATTTATCAAAATCAACGAAATCCCCAACAAAATTGTCTTACAATCGGCAAACAGCTAAACTCCCCCAAAAATCCCCAACGAAATCGTCTTACAATCCGCTGAAAACGAAGAAGTGGAAGAGGGTGATCGAAGAGAGTAAGGTGATTAGAATACAGTCGTCTTACTCGATTATGAAGCAATGCGCTTGCTCGCTTCTGCGTGGAGAATTCAATGCGACAGCGAAGATAGACTGGTTTCAATTCACAGAGGGTTTTTTGAGCGGCATCTTTAAATTTTTGGGGCAAATTTTGGGAGTGGATCTCGTTTTGGAGCGATGGAGCGATCTAAAATTAATTCTCGCGCTCTATTTTCCCTCTCTCACTTTCATTATCTGAACATAAAAAGGAAAAGAATAAAAGCACCCCTGTTTTGAGTAATATAACTGTCATATTACCAAAGTTATATTACTTAAAATGAAGTGCGAGACCCATATTGTGACAAACTTATAATGATATATACTATTTGTCATAATAAAGATGTAATATAACAAAATATTATGACATCATAAAAATTCGTCACAATATTTATCTAATATGACAAATGATTATCACAAAACATTTGTTTGTCAAAAAGAAAAAAAAAACACAACTAATATGACAAATTTTAGTTCTGTCATATTATAGGTTCTATTGTGACAAACCTAAAATGACAAATTAAAATTTCGTCAGGGCATCCCAAAATTGTTGTAGTAGGCCCAACAGCCCTGTTCACGACTTCTGAGAAAATACGATGGAGAAGGGAGTGGTGCTTAGCCCTCGTAGTAAAAGGCCCTGGCAGAAGAGTTTCGTTCCTTCTGCTATCCCGTAGACTAAATTTCTTATGGGCCAGACATGGAGATTTGCAGATATCAAACATGAAGAATTGATGCTTCCCAGTTTGGTTTCAAAGGAAAGAGGATTATGAAATTGCTGTAAATGGTCGACCATGGATGTTGGGAGATACATATCTAACGGTGATGAGGTGGTATAAGGGCTTTAATCCGTGGAGATCACAAGTGTCTTCCAACCTTGTATGGGTGCAACTCCCAGACTTACCAATCGAATTTATAAATAAGGAGGCGACTATGAAAATCGGATGGCGTGCTACAGAGTTGGGAGTGAGGGGCAAGTTTGCGAGAGTGTGTGTAGAGGTCGATTTAACTAGACCTCTTTTAGAGCTTTACAAGGTGGAAGGGATTGAGTACCCCATTCAATATGAAGGTCTTTAACATATGCACAAACTGTGGATAGTATGGGAAACCGACGTCAAACTGCCCTTGTACGGAACCCATGGTGGTTCAAGAAGCAAAAACAGTGGAAATGATTTCTTAAACACAAGAGTTAGATCCCCGCGGGGCCTGATTTATGGTGAATAGATTGTGGTAAAAAGAAAGGAAAGACGACCACCGAAACAGGTACAATATAATTGAGGGACGTGTGAAAAAGTTCCAAACAATCCAAAGCAGGGGAGTGAGTCCAATCGCTTTGCAGCATTCAGGGAAGACACGACCACTAAAGTACAACAAAAAGATACTGAGATGGTCATGCGGACGAGCAGATCATAGAGACCTAATAGGGAAGTAAAGCAAAGAGGAAAAGTACAAGAGGCAAGTAAAAATATGATGAATAGAGGGACGATGAATAAGGAACATGAGACAAGGGAGACGAAAGGAATGACAACCCATACAAAGGGATCGGAACAGGATGGGTCAAAATAGAACGAGAAAAATCTGATGGACAAGGCAGTGCCGGAAAAGAAGGAAGGAAGTAAAGGATCAAAAGTAAAACAGAGTAAACAGAAGGCGAAAGAAGGAGAGAAGATAATATCGACATAAAAAGGGGCGTGTAGCCAATCTCCTTCGGGTCATAGATGAGACTTCTTAGCTATAACTCTCACGGCTTGGGAAGCAAGCGAGCAGTTAAAGCTATGAAGTCGCTGCTGCCATAAGCTTCCCCTCAAGTGGTTTTCTTAATGGAGACCAAACAAATAGAAAAAGAAAATGAAGAGACAAGGAAAGAGCTGGGTTTTTTGGGCGGAGAATGTCAGCCAACGGATACTAGTGGAGGTGGTCGGGCTAGGGGTTTGTGTATTTGGTGTACGGAGGAAGTTATTTGATAGTAATGTACGCATCGGCTCATTGCATGACTACTAAGAAAACGGAAGTAGGAGGGATGTGCAGGAGATTCACAGGGATATATGGTTGGCCGGGGAAGAGATAAAAGGAGAATAAGTGGACTTGTTACGAGATCTGGCTGGACAGTGGGCTGGACCTAGCTGTGAGGTGGTGATTTTAACGATATCCTTGCAGGAGAGGAGAAGAGGGGTGGCCAGATCCAAGAAGAGAGTGAGATGTGGGTGTTCCATGACTGTCTGCTCGACTCGAATCTTAGTGATGTGGGCTATGAAGGATATCAATTCACCTGAGAAAATAGAAGACGGTTCGGTGGGTACATAGAAGAATGTCTAGATCTCTTTGTAGCACTCTGAAATCTTGGTGGGGGTATTTC